CGAGGGCACCGACCGGGCCGAGGCGTCCCGCAGCCGCGCGGTCCGTCGAGCGGCCCCGCGGGATCATTCGAGGCAGGAGGCGCACGGGCCGGAGACTCTCCTGGAGCGCCTTCCCATCCTATGTCCTGGCCAGGGACCCGCAGGAAGCCCCCGCCCCACCTCGACCCCGCACAAAGGCTGAGAGTCTCCTGTTTTGTAACCCAGAGGCCTGCCACTCGCAGCTGCCCGGAGGGCAAGTCCTGGCGTCCGAGATGGAATACGTGACAGCAAGTGGGAGAGAGGGAAAGAGATGTGGCGAGACGCGCCGGGCGGCCGCCCGCCTCCCTGCTGGCTGCGGGGCCCACTGACCCCGCCTTGAACTCCTTCCCGGGCCACGCCCTCTGGGAGGGGGTGGGCCTGCTCTCTGCAGCTGGCCCCCGTGACAGTGGGAGGGCTTCTCGGACAGAAAGAGCCTATCTGGCCGCGAAATAATGTAGATCCTGACTCGGCTGTCGGGAGCCCTGGGTTCTCAGCACTGATGTGCTGGGTGACTCTAGGGAAATCTGATCTCTCTAAGACTGGCTCAGGCACGGAGTGGGGGTGGGGTGACCAGTCTCTGAGCACCCCCACACACTTGGGTTGAACTCTGGACCCGTGTTAGCTGGGGCAGCCCGGGGCAGCTGCCCGCGTAGCCCAGTTCCCCTCCTCCTTTGGTATTGGTACAGGAGCCAGGGCAGAGCGACACCCCCACCTCACTGTGAGCCCAGCAACGGTCCCCTGAGCCCTCTGTTCTGGGCCCTCTGCAGAGTCAGACTTGCCCCCTTCCCAAACGGAGGAGGAAGCATGGGGACCCAGGCCAGGTTCTGGCTCATGCAGCAACGTGGAGGAGGAGCTGGCCTCCCAGGGCTCACCCCAGACCCTGGCAGGAATAAAGTCAGGCCAAGTGGCCAGTGACCTCTAAGTTCCTGCCCGGGCGTCCTTCCTGCGAGGAAATGGGTGCGGCAGCTTCACGAACCTGGACAGAAAAGAGCTGCTTCAGCTGGGGGGGATTGAGCCTGCCTTGCCCAAGACAAAAGGATATAACCCCACGGCAGCAGGCGGATTCCTCCAGCATCGCCCCAAGAAATCGCAAAGTGGGCTTCATCGCCTCCAGCCCCCCACTCTGAGAGCCTGCACAGACAGGCACCTTCCCCTGGCAGGGACGCCTCCCTCTCTGTAGACTGGGGGGCGCCCCACTCCGTCAGAACTGCTCGTGAGGAATGAACAGGATTCTTCATCCAGGAGCTTTGCACAGTGCTTGGGCCGGATGGGGTACCCTCTTCATGTCCTCGCTGCCCTCGGCCTTCCTGCCTGGGCAGGGAACCGGCCAAGACGATGAGCCAGGACTGGGACACAGGCAGGCACCCGCCAGCCCGCAGCACTGATGATCCTCTGCCGCCCCCTGCTGGGTGCAGAGGGCACTGTTGCCACCTGGCTGCCCCTTGGGCGGGCGCTGCCCAGCGGCACCAAGAATCAGGTTTAGCCTGGAGAATAGCCCCGGAGACCCAGGCCTCGCCACTGAGCCAGTCACAGTACCTTCCTGACTCCCAGTGTCCTGATGTGGACGACAAGGACAGGACCCACCCTGGGTGCCTCCCAGGATTTGGGGAAGGTGCTGCAGGAAGGCTGGATGGTTGTGAACGCATGAATGAAACTTTCTCCTCCCCTTAACGGAGGCACCGGGGAGGGAGCCCACGTACGCCAAGCAGGCGCTCTACTGCCGAGCTGTACGTACCCACCAACCCCCGAATGAAGGAAGAGATGGAAACTCTCTTCCAAACGCTTGGTGTGTGATGAGCAGGTCCGGACTGTGTCAGCTCAAAGTATGTATCAGGAAGAGGGGACACCGTTCCAGAAACTCTTAGCACCATCCGCGTCTTCTCAGACGCGGAGCTGTTTGCCGGAACCGCCTGTGGCACCCCTCCGGGGGCACCATTGCCTCCACGTTCTATAGAGAGGGCACCCTGGAGAGGAGCTCGCAGACTGCACGGGAACGGTCCCCGCCGGCGGCTGCAGCTCAGCTTGGCCCACGTGTGGTGCCATCAGTTTTCCTCAGTGAGGGCGGATGGGCCCAGGAGAGGCAGGAAGCTGGGGCTCCCAGCCCAGTGGAGCAGGTGGAACCCAGGGGCGGGAGTCACGTTTGCCAAAGTATGGAAGGAGGGTCCCAGGCCCCCTCTTCCTGGGCCCCTCAGCCTCCACCCGCACCACCCGTTCCCCCTCAGTCTGCCCTCAGCAGCCACCAAAGACCCAGTCCAACCTTAGCGAGGCCTCGTCACTCTCCTGCCCGGAGAGGGCTCCCCTTCACCAGAGACAAAATCAAATCTCTTCCCCTGCAAGTCCTGTGTGGTGCACCTCGCCCCTGAACAACCTCACTTCCTGCAGCTCTCCAGCCACGCCCAGCACTCCCCAGCCCCAGGGCCTTTGCACCTGCCACCCCTCTGCCTGGGACTCGCCCAGATGGCCGTGTGGCTCGCACCCTCACTTCCTGTGCTGAGCCTCCTCCCACCACATGACTCCCTGTACTTCTGTGCACTTCTCGCCACCGTGTCTGTTCCTGAATGGCTCAGTCTCAGCCCTCTAGACTGTCAGCTCTGGCAGCAGGGCCCACCTCTGGTCCTGTCCCCAGTTCACTCCCAGCACCGTGAACTGGGCTCAGCTCATGGGAGGTAGTCCAGAAACACGTGTTGAATGCAACACCAGAAGAATAAACCGACAGCTCAGCGAAGCGCGGCAACTGCAATCTTACAACCGAACGTCTCCTGTCGTGGAAGTCAGACAAGAGCAACCTGAGTCAGAGGCTTAAAGACAGGCTGTGTAATCCACTGAACTGCAGTGTATCTTACCATCATGAAGGGAATCTAGAACATTCCACTCCATAAGAGCTGCACCGACTTAGCACAGTATTCTCACGGTCTTCGTCATTGTGATTGCTGCTCCTATTTCTTGAGCACGGGCGGCCGGCCTGAGGGGGTTGTGTGTGTCACCTGGTCCCCATTAAGCCTCCCAGTTACAGTCATCGCTTCTGTTCTTCGCTGTTAAATGCAGAAATCCAGCACATTGGGAGCTGCCCGGCGTCACAGCAGGATGCGAAGGAGTCGGGCCCAAACGCCAGGCCTCTCCGGCACCTGCTTACCCACCCACATCTTGCTGTTGCAGGGAGTTTCTGTGCCCGGCACCTAATTCTGTCGGGCGACACACTGGTTTGGGTAGAGAGGAATTGAGGGAGACGGGAAAATGCTGTGGTGTCGAAAAACACGGAGATACTGACTCAGCAGCAGAACGCAGAGCCGGGAAGGCCGCTGCGGGAGCTGGCGCGCGCGCTCGGAGTTTCGGGGCCGGTGGGGAAGTGGCTGCTGGGGAAAGAGCTGGGTGTCCCGGCACAGAAGTGCTGCCACCGGCCCGGAGCTCCTGGGAGCCTGGAGACAGCAGGGTCTGGGTGGGTCCCAGAGGGGGGCCTTCGGAGGAAGATCAGGCCGCTTGGTGCCCGGGCCTCTCACTCCGGCCTCGCAGGGAATGATGCCCAGCTCCGGGCCGTGCACTTTACTGAACTGCTTGCAGGTGGCGGGTCTCAGAGGACCTGGCCAAGGTTAGGCGCTGCGCAGAGCTGGGGTTGGATCTCTGGTCTGAAGACCGAGTCTGATTCCTGCGACACTTCCAGCTGGGGTCTTGGCTTCTGCTTCTGGCTGATGTATGATGGGCTCCAGGCAGCAGCACGGGGTGGGGGGTTCTGAGTCCACAAACGCTCCACCAGGCCTCCTGGGCGCCCGCGGAGTTGCCCTTATCAGTGGGAGTCCTCCTGGCTGGGGAGACACCGGGAACTTGCTCTGCACAGGACACGTGTGAATCTTCATGTGCTGTGTGTGGTGCGGGCCGCAGTGGAAGGGCTGGAGCGCTTCCTGCCGCCTTCAAACATCTGAGACTGTTCCCTTCCACACAGGCCTCCTCAGAAAACACTCGCAGCCAGACCGGGGGTTCTTCCACCCAGCTTTACCCCAAATGCCAAGAGCCGCTGCGAGGTCGCAGTGCTTCTTGTCGGTGGGGTGCTTACTCCATAGCCAGGGTCCCAGGGCAGGACTGGGACCTTCTCCTGCCAAGGCCCCCCTCCGAAGCCAGAGCCCACCCCCTCCCCATCCCTCCCCTTCTCTGTCCAGAGTACCGAGCACTGGCCTTGTTCGTGGGGTGAGGGGGAAGCGAACGTTTCAACTCTTCCCAACATGACTGGGTGAAGGAATTATTCTCACGTCCAAACCACATGAACACACACATTTTGCAGATTCCATTTGCAGCTACATCATGCAAATTCAGCTGTCACAATTTCCCGGGAGACCATAGGTGCAGAGAAAGACCATCCGGCCCATCTTGGAGTTAGACGACGCCCACTGGGTTGGGGAGTGTGGCTTTTTACATTTTGTTCAAAGAGGCAAAATGAGGACTTTTCACTGTTTGTTGCTTTGACTTTCAAATTAAGTCCAATACTGTAGTCCACGGATCGCATGCCAAACTGTGACCGCTGACGTCTTACCGCCAGGGGTCCTTGTCTGGCCCCTCCTGCCCACTGGAAGGGGGCTCTGCTCTCCTCCGCAGGCGCTGTGAGGTCAGGGTGCGGGCAGGGTTACTTGAGGCTTTAAGGAGAGGAGGCCTCCCACACTTAACGCCTTTGTAGGCAGGACGCCGAAAAGTCCAGACTGGGGGCAGATCCTGGATTTCTTCAGAAGCCAGCTCATCGTGACACCAACAGGCCACCTCACCAAAGGACAGACGTGGGAATCCAGTCTGACTGAGGGAAGCCCCAGGCCCCGTGCAGCTGTCTGTGCGTTATGGGACCCAAGGGGTGGCCCAGGGGCCACTGTCACTGAAGCTGGCAGTAGGCAGACTGGGCTGTGACACTCCGGCTGCTGGGAGCTCTGGCTCTCATGGGAAGGACCAGCATCCCAAGGGATTCAGGACACAGGGCCAAGGATAGCCCTGTCCAAATCTGTCCCTGCTTTGCCGTTACTGGTGTCCAGTGCTGCCTCGACCTGGGCAGGAGACAGCCCACCTCCTGCAGCCCCGCCACCTCCCAGGGCAATGGGTCAGCACAGCCAGACCCCCGCACGAGCGCTCCAAACCCTAGAACAAGCGCATCAGCCCCAAGAGACAGCCTGCGCCCCGGAGCTGCCGGCCCGCGCTCCCCGCCCACGCCACGCCTGGCAGCCTCGGATCTGTCTGGCTCCGTGATTTGCCTGTTCCAGACATTTTCGTGTCTGTGTGGCCTTCTTTCAGAATAATGTCGAGGTCCATTCATGTTGTAGTGGTGTGAATAAATACTCCGTGCCTGTTTTTGTTTGTTTTGCTTTGCTTTGCTTTGCTTTGGGGATGTGTGATCACGTTTTCATTTGTTTAGAGGAGGTGCTGGGGATTGAACCCGGGACCTCGTGCCTGCTGAGCCATGCCCTGCCCGAAACGTGCCTTTGTTTCGTCAAAGTGGAGCTGATTTACAGTGTCATGCTGGCGTCTGGTGCACAGCACGGTGACTGAGCTGCCCTTGGACACACTGCTTTTCAGATCTTGCCTTTCTGGCCTTCCCCATGTGCTGAGCTGACCCTAGGAGGGCCTGGGGTCCCTCAGAGAGAAAGGCCACGAGTGAGGGCTCCCGAGTCCCAGGCAGCCACTCTGCACCCTGAGTCAGCACTTTGTCTCCGAGAGTCAGTCTCCCTGTCTGTGAAGTGGGCGTGACGGCGATCCCAGGGCAGAGGCCTCACGGCCTGAGTCAATGAGACGGACGCACACACCGCACTCGGGACAGGCCTGGCCCTCCGCGGTCGGCTTGTGAGCTTTCCTAGCCAACAGCTTCGTGCCGCTCCTGCTGCGATTCAGGAAGTCAGAACCTCCTCCGCTTCCCTCCATTGTCCGAATGCCCAGAGCGCAGCCCACCTGGGGAATCCCAGCGCCTCCGCCACGAGGGGGCGCCGCCGGGTGCCCAGCCCCGCACATGCCACTTCTGTCACCTGGACCTTGGCTCAGAGCCTGGCCCAGCTGGCCTGTCCTCCCAGGCCCCACTGCCCCTCACGTTGCCTGTTCACGCCCTCGGTCACTGCTGCCTGAACGAGGGGTCTGCCCCCCAGCACCAGCGTGTCCGCCAGGAGAGCGCTGGCGTCTCCCCCTCTGCACACGCTGTAACTTGAACCTCACCAGCTCCGGTTATGGCATTTCTGGGCACCCACCTTCCCTCCTGCCTCTGGCCCCAGGCCTCCTCTCCCTCTTCCCTCCGGGGTCAAGATGCAGGTCAGAGTTCTCAAGGTCCATACTGCCTCGGCCCGGGACATCGTGAACCCCACTCACCTGGGCTCCCCAGGCCGTGGCCTTGGTTCCCTTTATTGTTGCCGTCCTGGTGTGATGGGGAGAACAAACCTGACTCCAGAACTGGACCTGTTTCTTTTACTTAAACTTCTGTGTCTACTGCTTTGGCTGAAAGTTAATCACTAAAGGGGTGTTGCCTCTAAGCTTAAATTACACACAACGGCCCATCTCTGGGACCCCTGCCCCCAGGCAAAGAGCATTAAGCTAAAATGCCTTCTTTTCGCTCACAGGAAGCCTCCTGAGCAGGCCCGCCTGGGACTGACTGCGGGGAGGAGGCAGTCGGCACAGGCCCTCCGGAGGGCGACGGACACAGGGATGTTTGACTTTACTCCCTCCCCTTTCAGTGTAAAAGAAACCCGAATTCTACCTCAGGCAAGATGGCTCTTTGGGACACGAGTCCACCATCTCCTTGCTCTGCTGGCTTTCAGAATGAAGTCGCTAGTCCTTGCCGCAACACCTCATCCCTCGATTTATTGGCCTGCTGTGGGGCGAGCAGTATGCGTTAACTTGGTAACAGTGGCAGGTCTTTGCCAACAGCTGCTGGCATCAGCTGTGCTCGGCCCGGCTGTACCCTGTTCCTACAGCTGCCCTGGCCAGAGAGAGGCCAGTAGGACCCCGAAGCCAGGGTCCAGGAACGGCCTGACGACTTCCTGGCCACCCCCACTCACCTTTCCTTTCAGGCAAAACAGACCCTGCTGTTCCCCCAACGCCCAGTTCCTTCCTGCTCTCCGACCCCCACTCCCAACACTGGGCTCTGGAGGGGTCCCAGGAAGCAGTCGCTAGCAGCCTCAGCCAGCTGGCAGCAAGAGCCCCAGTGCTGACGGCAGGCGGGGCGCCAGGAGCGCCTGGCATGGGGGCTGAGCACGAGAACGCTCCCCAGGGGTGAGCCGGGGCAAGAAGGTACCTCGTATCTCAGACGTTCGAATGTAGGGGAGGGCTGATGCTCAAACCATGGAAATGATGGCTGTGGTGGGCAGCCGTGAACACACTGGAGAAAGCCGGTGAATGGCGGAGTGGTTAGTCACCCACCGGGGGCAGAACGTGAAAGCCGGAGCCGCGTGTACAGGCCCTCGAATGAGCAGACTTCGCCCCGTAGCTGCAAGGCAGCGGAGGCAGTGCAGCCCCAGGGGAGGTCAAGTTCCGAGCCAGCCAGGGACCTGGCTGAGGGGCGGGGCCACGAGACGCGGGGGTGGGGACACTTGGGTCTGTGCACTGGGACCTCATCCACCCACACCCCCTCTGGAGCCCCTGGGCCAGAAGAAGTGGCCATTATCCCCGGAAGGCAGCAGTCCCCCTGTCTGAAGAACACCCTCTGCCGTCCGGGACGTCACACCTCTGCTTCCGGCCAACAGCACCTTGGACATCGGTCTGCGCCTTAGACTAAGGAGGAAGAACCTTAGCTTTTCACTCTCTTTTTTGAAGAGCCATTTTAAAAGTACCCCACACCACGGCCATTCACTTCTCTTTTATGGGCACCACCCCTCGGTCCCCCGGAGCCTCCCCATGGGCTTGTCACTCCCTCCCGGGGACCACGGGAGACAGTTTACGCAGCTGTACGGCCCCCTGTGTCCCATCTCCTAAGAAAGCTGTATTGACATCACATTTAGCCACAGACCGGCCGGACAATCAACCCAAGATTCCTCCATCTTCCCTGCACCAGTTTTCACATTAGGGTTTCCAGTGGGCTGAATAGTGGACCCCAGAAAGATACATCACATCAAGCCCTTGAAGCCTGTAAATGTGACCTTATTTGGAAAAGGGGTCTTTGCGGAAGTGACGAACGAGACTCCGAGATGAGATCATCCTGGATTATCTAAATCCAACGACAAGTGTCTTTGCTAGAGACACGCAGAGGGCAGACGCAGGGAGAGGAGGGGCGGCCAGGCGGAGACCGGGGTGGAAATCAGGGTGATGTAGCCCAAGACGCAGAAAGCCAAGCCTTGCTGGCCGCCCCGGGAGCGGGGTGAGCGGCACGGGACACCTGCCGGAGCTTCGAGGGGGAATGCAGACCTGCCAGCAGCGGGGTTTCCTCCTGGCCAGGGAGGGAGGCCCCTGAGAATGAAAAACATAACGAGGCCATTGATTGAATGGCATCAAATGCGATTCATGCGGTCACACTGATACATTTTTAAATCTATTGGTCTGAAAAGGGATAGGTGAAGAGAGAGAATGAAGCGTTTGTTCTTCGATTTAAGTGTTTTAGCTCCTTTACTGTGCTAGGGTTCCTGCACAGCAACCGCACCGATTTCAGATGTGCAGCTCGATGAATTCTGGTAGACGCGTGCGCCCGTGAAACCACCACCACCAGGGGCGCTAGCATGTCCATCTCTCCCCAGGAGGTGCTCATTTTGAACTCCCAGCTTATCCCTTCCCGCCGGCTTCACCCTCCGGTAACCATAAGGTTGTTCTCTATGTCTGTGAGTCTGTTTCTGTTTTGGAGGTGAGTTCATTCGTGTCCTTTTCTGTAGATCCCACACGTAAGCGATCTCATGTGGTATTTGTCTTTCTCCGTCAGCCTTGCTTCACTTAGGACGACCGTCTCCAGGTCCGTCCGTGCTGAATTCTACTTTCCTTCAGGGTAACCAGAGTTGATGAAGAAAGTTCTTCCTTACGGAGAAGAATTCCAGAAAATAAAGGCAGAAATCACATCGGCACCAGAAGGTCCTGAATTTGCAATCCTTGATGAACAACAGGCCTGAGTTATGATCAGTGATGGCAGGTAGACTTACCCCGTGAAAGACGGATGGGGCATTTGGTGGCGAGTAGATCAGGCTGCCAACACCCACAGCTGGTGGCCAACCTTACTGCGGAGAGCGCGCGGCACCCAGGAGGCGCCTGCCCACGCGTGCGGTGCTGGGAAGCCCGCAGCACCACCCGGGAAGGCAGCCGGTTAACAAGGCCAGCCCCGTCTGAAGAAGGCGCAGATCTAACTGCCAGTTCTCAGGACACATAGAGGGACGGTCACTTTAGTGACGTCGTGGGGACACAATCAGCCAGGCCTAGGATGTGGTGAGTCGAGAAAAAAGTGTGGAGCTTCCATGACGATCCTAGAGGAATGTCACATTTCTTGCAGCCACCTGGCCAATGTTACTGAATACCCGACACCGGATCCTTTTCGGTGGGCTGCAGAATTACAGCATCCCTTGAGCCCCCACCAAGTCCGTCCTGTGGACGTGTGGCATTGGCTGGGGAGGAGTGGGACCCTGACACTCGGGAAGGGACATCCGGTTAGACACAGACGGCGCTGAGGAGCTCCAGTCCCCCAGCCACTCTGAGCCTCTCTCGCCAGAGGAAGTACCTCAAAGGCGCCGTGACACCCTTACCTGGGAGCGGTGCTGTTACTCTGGGAAGGAGATGCTCTTCCCCTCAAAACCCACCCCAAACACCCTTGCTGCCCCAGAGCCACATCTAGGTTCAGATCTCAGCATGCCCTGAAGCCAAGCACAAAGGCGGATGCAAGAGGAAACAGCCTTTACACTAAGAGAGTGGAAAGATTTTGTACAGATTGGCGGAAACCAGGGCAGCCGTGCGGGGAATGGCTTCTGAGGGTGTGATCAAGGCAGACAGAACACAGCACGGGATCGGGCCAGAGGTACTCACACGAGTGCCTTACCAGAGATCCCGGACTCAGTGTGTCCCTTGTGCGGCTGGGATCGAAACTGGCTGAGACTGGTCTCCACGGTAGCCTGTGCTTAATGAGGCCGGAACGCCAGGACTTCACCAGCACGCCGCGGAAGGAGTCCGAGGGCTGGAGCGGAGGGGAGGGCTGGAGTCCACTCACCCCGTGTACCTGCCCACCTCTCCTCCCCTGCGGTTCCGGCACTGGGAACTGCATCAGCGAGGGGCACTGGGTCCTTGGAAATCTCTGTGGTCGCCGTGTCCGACCGGCCGAGTGTGGTGATGGGAAACCCTGGGGTCCCTGATTTCAGAGACCCTGGGGTCCTAGAGCAGCAGAGACAATGGCCAAAACCGAGGTGAGCCCCGCTCCTGAAAAGGGCGAGAGGGGCTAACACAGCCAGAAAGACCCGCCCATGTAGTCGACAGCCGCATCACGAGGAAAGAAGTCACCCACTGAAATGGTGCTTGGTCCCGAGAGCAGGAAGAACCCCAGGACTGGCGACCCCAGACCTGGTTTCAGGGGCCAACGTGGAGATCCACAGCCTCTCCCCCAGTTTCAGGCTTAAGCCAGCTTGCTGAGCCCGAGCCCGTGAGGGGCGAGGAGGCCCGGTCCCGGGAGGAAGGGGCCGCGCAGCCGCAAGGCGCGCCGTCGCTCTTTCTCCAGGCTCTCCGCCCCGGGCCCTGGGCCCGGCACCCACGGGCCGCGCCCCAGGGGCAGGCGTGCCGGGCCTCTGGGGCATTACTAGAGACTGGCTCTGAATTAGCACGAACTCCTGGGACATCTGTTCTCATTCTCTTTTGCCAAGAAATGAACCCCGCCACCTAACAACAGTTATCAATATCTCTCACGGCTCGGAGGATTTGCTGGCTCAGCTTGGTGATTCTGGCTTGAGGCCTCTCAGGTGCCCCAGGTGGCTGGGGGCTGGGGG